CAATAAATTTTCTGTATTGTCAAATATGCCAGGTACGATCGAGAAAACACGGCCGACGTTGTTACATATGAAAGATTTTAGTTGTTTTCAAATATTTCTAACTAATAACGATGTAAGCCGAGATACATCGAGCGCATTCGCCGCTGGATCCCGTCCTATATAATCATGGAATTATCGAGTGAGTTCCCTCGCTCCGCGCACCGCCGCGATTATATTCGTTCGTGCCTGTAAATCTGAACTTTCGTCGTTAAAACTGTATTTTCGCCCTCTTAGCGAAATCGATTGGGGGGGGGGGGGCTGCTACGGTACCAGCTCGTGCGGTGAGAGAAGCGAGACGCGCCCGTACGCAAAGTGCCTGTAACTCTGCCGACGCGAAATTCCTTCGCGCGCGTGTAATCGCGCGCAAGCTTTATCGTCATTCTCGCGAGCGTTTAATATTACCGCTCATTTCCGCCAACTTTGCGAGCGCGCCGCGACCGGGTCGTCGGGGGTGCGGGAGGGGAGGGGGAGGGATGAAACTTACGCACTGGGGATCGCGAAATAAACTTCCGAAATCTTCCCGCTCGGGACAGTAAGCCGGAGGATAAATATCTTTCGCGCAGTCGAGTCTCGGGCCGTAACCGTACGCTCGGAAACTCTAATTTCGAAATATACCAAGTATGTGCGTTTGAGGTACCAAATAATTCCGCGCTCATTTCCGCACGCCCCTTATCCAGCGTTTACCTGTAGTCGTCGTAATTTTGTCCCATCGATGTTTACTCGTTAGACGTTCAAACGCCGAAAAGAAAGAGTTCGCCACCGTAGCATGGTTTGCTAAAAATATTTTGCTGCCGTAACTACGAATTTCTAAACCGCAGCGAACGATTTGCTGTCGCACCTGATACCGTAGGCACAGTAGCAAAATATTTAGCTACCGCGACTAAATATTAGCTGTCCATATTTTACAACCGAATTTACCACGTGCGGCTTTTAGCTACACTTTTTTCCCCCCCGTGGATTTTTTGATACCATCGGTGAATAGTTGCTTTTTTTTTAATTCCAACTCTCGTTCGTTTAATAATAGGAGCCTGAAACAAAATTATTACATCGCAACATAGTTCAGTGAAATATAACGCTTTATGAAGTATTATATAAACAATAATTAGCGCCGAGTAAATGGAGAATAACAATAAATACCGCCGCATTGACGTTACTCGAGGAAACATACGGTAATACAATATACGTGTTCCACAATTGTTTAAATAGTATTCTCTGCGGTGTACAATAATTAATAGAGGAAAGTCTCCTATTATGAAATATGACTCTTAATATGAGACAGCGGAGTTTCTGCTAAATTAATAGGCATCGTCTGTAGGTTCCACCATACGAGTATTGCCCTTGGTGTGAAGTTTGTTCGGTGGAAAATTCGTTGTTGGATCGTTGCGAAAAAGCTTTGTGATTGAATTTGGATGTTGAAAACCTTCTATCTTATATTAGAAGCCTAACGGGGGATTTTTCTCTACTTACATTAATTATTTACTACGCACGCAAGTTGTTTAATAATATGAAAATACGATATAACGCAACATCACGGAATACGCGGCAGCATCCTCAACTTTCTTTCTGTCTTCGAAATTCTCGGGGAGGCGTAAGATCGAGAGTAGGTTCCATAAATGTATTACCCTTGGAGTGACGTCTGTTCAGTGGAAAATTCGTTGTTAGACCGTTGCAAAAAGGCTTTGTGATTTAATTTGAATGTTGAAAATCTTATATTAGAAGCCTAACAGGGGACTGTCCTCTACTTATACGTCAATAATTTACTACGCACGCCAGTTGTTTAATAATACATTATAAAAAATACGAGGGAACGCAATATCACGGAACACAGCATCCTGAACTTTCTTTTTGTCTTCGAGATTCTCGGGGAGGCGTAAGATCGAGAGTTACGCCGAGGGAATTCCATTCTAACGACGGCGCAAAAAGTACCGGCCCGGAGGAGGTTAACGCGAAATCGATACGCAGACGTGCCGCTGCGATGTATCGCGCGCGCATTTCGGATACGCCGAGGATGTGTGCCGTCGTATAGCCCCAGCTTCTACGAAGCTCGCGTTCGTGGTCCCCCGTGTATATGTAATATGCGATGCAGTCTATGCGCGAGGGATGGAAGTAACGTAGGGGTGGCGGCCGAACAGGCGATCGAGCGGGATGAAAACGACGACGGCATGGCACGCTTGCGAGAATGCGCCGCGCGAGTGACGCGGGATGGCACTAACGAGACACGTTCCTGCGGAACAACGCCTCGTGTGCCGGGAGAGCGCAGCCACGACGAAGAGAGTTCTTGACGGGAGCTCGGGCACTTCCCTCGGTATCGATCACCGATCCCGTTACGGTTACCGTTATCCTTTCAGGAGAACTTGTTTGACTTCGAAACACGAGCGCTCTCGAGACGCGACGTCAAGATTATAGGTTTCTTTGTCAAACCCACAATTTCGTCGCGAGAAACGAGCGTTCTCGCGTTGAATTTTATCTAATCACTAAATCTTGTACACTTTTTGCGGTTGACCTTTATTCACAATAGCCTATTAGTCCGACAGTGCGCCCAGAAAAGAGATTTATTTAAGTAAAGATTTATTTAAATAAACGGGATACGTTGAAATCGCGTTACTTTGAATCTACTAAAGTTTTATTTACTTCTACTAAAACGTTTGCTGGATTTGAAGAAATAGATATGAATTCTCTTAGAGATTCCAGTCTTAATCAAATTAAATTTTGGTTAAGAAGAAATCATTTCTTTGAAATTGAATAAGAGTCTAGTAAGATCCAAATTTAAAGAAAATTTGTTTGATTTTAAAGACATTTTTTCTGGGTGTGGAGTACAACATTTTTATCTCAGTCTTAGCAATCTATTAAATTTAATTTATTAGAGTAAAAACGTTTTTATCAATCAAATGCTACGCAAATTAGATGTTTCACAATTAAAGAAGAAATTTAGCATTTTTCTTTAGAAACCGTGTACAATGTTATCAGTCTTTAATTATAAAGAGAGCAATGAAAATTGAGATGTGATGTTGGGGTGTAAAACGCACCCCATGTAAGTACCTAATTACGTTAAAAAAGACACACCCGAAAAATAGTTTGTTTAGAATCGAATTTATTTGAATAATAACTAGACTTTTCATTCAATTTCAAAGAAATGATTTCTTTATCTGAACCAAAATTTTATTTAATTGAAATTGGACTTTCTAAGAGAGTTCTAGCAAAATCTAGCAAACGTTTTAGCAGACGTAAATAAAAATTGAGTAGATTCATTTGTTTCACCTAACTAAATCTTTTTTTTCTACGTGAGTAATATAGAGGTAAGGAATACGGTAATGCACATGCGCTTCAGTCATTGTTGAGCCTCTAGGATTAACTTAAAATTATGCCACGCTTCACTCTATCTATCGATTATCTCTCGTCATCGTGCGCGCCTGCCATTAAGGAGCTTAAAGTCGAGCGGATCTGGCCCGAGGTAATTAACGTTTACGAACCGAATTATTCTTCGAGATGGTTATCCGTTCGTGACTGGCTTTTTCGAGTTCCCCTCGGTGAGCTTCTCTGGCGAAATCCCAGATTGCCGTTGTCGTCCTCGATGACGACCACGCTGACTAATGTCTGACATCGTTTCCTCCGTCTGACTCGACGAAGCAACGGAAAAATCCCGATGAGTCAGACAAAATCGCGTCAAATTGTGTGAGAAAAAGGGAGCAGCGGGAGGAGGCGCATCCTCTCGCCAGCGAGTCCCAATCGATGAGATTTCGTCTGGTTTTACGGCGCTACGTAGGTCATCACTGTCCAGGATCGGCTTCTCATTGAATATTATCAGGCTCCTTTTTATTTCTTTCGTTAATTAGATCGCACCGAGGATATGCGAACGAGCTTTTGGAATTTATCGCGGCCTAGTCCTCCCGCTAAGAACACCTCTTGAAACCGAGCGAAGGGCTCTTCGTAGCTCGGAAATTTGCTGCGCGTGAAACTTTGTTGCGAAACGATTCTCAAATTTCCTACATTATTCCATTTATGTGACGTCGCACATCGAATAAAATTTACATGTAACTTAGGCGAGAATTAGCGTGAATTATATTTCTTTTCGATAAACGGAACGACATTTTCCAACTCTGCATATAAAGTCGTACCACTTTATTATTAGGTAACTCTTATATAAGTATCTTAATTTAATCGATGTCAATTCGGCGTCAAAATTGCGCACAAAATTAGTGTATATCGAAATATTTTTAACTGACTCATATCGCGATTAAGGAGTGGGGATTTTAAATATTCAGACCGACATGTTCTAATTATTGTGGTGAGTTTTTACACATTTTTTCTTAGGGTTTTAGAAAACGCGCGTGGACTTGCGAGAGCAAGTATACGCGATCGTCTGACCAAGCACGGTTTGCGCCACTTGCGGCGAGCGCCGTTCGTAATTACGGCTATACTACTTAAATAGAGTAGTGTCCGATGTAATATATGTATCGGCCTCGACTACTTAAATTGGCTACTTCTATCAGTCATGCAATCGAGCGCTTATGTTCTCATTATTCTTTTCATTATTTTTATTAAAAACACTATTTGAATATTATCGACTTGATGAAATTAATTTCGATAATACATTGTGATAATTTTTCAATATTTTTTATTGTTTTATCACGTGCGATAAAACCAGAGATATTGGGAGCCGATAGTAAATTACTTTCAAGGATTGAAAACAACCGTAAAAATTTTTACAGAGTTATTTAAATTTTATTTCATTATGCAAACTTAAGTTCAATTTTGAGAGATGTAAATTTCGAAATAAAACGTCAGTTTAAACCGGGCGTCACCGCGTCGAGATTTTTAAATCTGGATTTACATCTTTCAAAAAAAAACCCCTCGTTTAATAAATATGCGAGGATTCGTGACAATATCGGATTTGCGAAACATGAATAAATTTGAGAAAGTTTAAGCCAGCTGCTGACTCTGACGTGTGTGTTTTTCCACAGGTGGAGGAAATCCGCGAAATGATAGATAGGATCCAGACGAACGTGGAAGATGTGAAGAAAAAGCACAGCGCCATTCTCTCCGCGCCGCAGACCGACGAGAGTGAGTTTAATTTATCACCTTGTATTACTTACCCCATTTCTTATGTGAGGTACATACGCGCATATATTCTCGCGGCTACTACCAGCGAGCCCGATTACGTTTCCGCGGGCAAAAAGCGAGATCGCGTTGAACGCGAAAATCTCTGTTGCCGGAAATTTCCGGTCATGTGAAACGGCCAGTCTGAGGATTAAATTAAACGATAACTGGCTTGGTCAAATATTAGCGCATTGTGTGCTGACACCGACGCATCTGTTTGCTCCGCGTGATTATTTATACGAGGTTCAGATTGATACAGTTTCGGTACGTTGCGAACTTCGTTAATATACAGCCGGATAAAAATAGTTTCTACGTTTGTTCGTCAAATAAACAGAAAAGAGACGGCGCGGCGGTCGTGAAGCACGATTCCCTTTTTGTATTTATACCACGTCGAAAGGTAAAATTGTCATTGCACTAACAATAAGACCTAATCGCTGCTATTTATATTTAGCAAGTATAATTGCGGCAATTATATTTATCTCTCTATTCACTAACATCCCCATTGACTTGGTTGAACGTGTCTTCAAAAACTGGCTCTTTCCCAAACAAAATTACGACATTCCGGGAGATGAATTTTTCGAAGCTTTCAAATTGGTATTACATTCAGTGAAATAAACATTATATGCCACAAATAAATTTTCAAAGACTTTTTTTCTCAGTGTAATTATCGACACGATTCTACAAGACCTTGAGGAAGAGATTTAAGGACTTTTGCAGTTACTATCTCTTTACTTTATATTGACGACATTGCAAACATCACCGAAAATTACAAAATTAATTGCGAAGACTGCGACGTCTCTTATACATCGATCAAATTAAAGCGAACGGTACACGATACTATTTTTCCTACTGGATTGCTTACGAGAACCAATCAGGCTGTAGAGTTTTAGATCAGGAGACTTAAGGCTAAATCCTGATTGGCTCTCGTAAGCAATTCAGTAGGAAAAATAGTGTCGTGTGCCATTGGCTTTACAGACAATTAAGAACTTGGATTTCTGCGAGAGGGGGGGGGGAGAGAACGCGGGAATCACATAAAAAGAGGAACACTTACCCATCCCCGTATTTGAAGAAATTTAATATTTATAATGTCTCATTAAGGCTGCGTTCAAACTGCCGCTACAAATGCTTCGCAGCGTTTCTCTTGTCCTTTTATCTTTATTGATAGAAAGGAAAAGAAAAATACTTGGAAGCATTTGTAGCGGCAGTTTGACCGCAGCCCAAATTGAAGAACTTGTCACGCAATTTGCCCTTTTGTTTTACCTCAATTTTTATTAACGAATTACCCATTGTATTATTCATATATATATATATTTTTCTTTTGTACTTTCTAAGTGATATTTATATTGCTAAGTATGAATAACGCGTTGGCAATTGTTCTCTCGGATACCGATTGTCAGAAGCAAAGAGATGGTTTAGGTGCGGGCGAATCAACGCTTTGTTCCCGGTTAACCGCTGATCCTCCGCGAACTCCTCCTTCGTCGGAGGCTTGCTAAGAGTCAAATTCAAATTTGCTCTCTGTACATAATTCAAGAACTTATCCGTCTTTCTGGGGTCGATTTACTCGAACACCGGCACGCTTTCAAGCCGGTCGGTTGCCCTCGTTTCTCAGCAGGATACATCCCGCTCGTCTTCGAACGTCGATGCTGAATATTTCATTCGGCCGAACGCATGCCCGTTACTTGCCAAAAAACTCTCGCCGAGCATACCGCGTCGAAATCCGATATTCCAGAGCGACGTTTTATTATTGGAGAGCACGGTGTGATATACAACGGGGCCCTTTCAACGAAACTTTGATACATTGAACCCTGCGCGCACGTAGAGAAATTCGAGACCTGCCGATGTTTCGAATTTCTGATATTAAGGGACAACCTTGATCATATTGACGCAATCAGTAATTTAAGCGCGGCTCAAGAAACGAATAAACGAAGCTTGTAAACTTTGGGTGCGCGAGTGTAAAGTGTAACCCGATCGGGAGAATCGATGGGAGCTTGAGCAGCCGTTAATTGAAAAGAGACTCGGGCGAAATAGTTGGAGGATGCTCCGTATAATTTTCTCGCTCATTGCGAGAAACGACCGGGAAATCATTCGATCGTATCGGCTTTCGTAATTTCGCGCCGAGATAATCGAGCCTCGATATTCCGACAAGCGCTGCGCGGCCAAATTCAATAGCGGGAAATGCAATGCAGAAGACTGGTTAAGTTTGAAAAGTGGCTGCCTGGAGGGAAGAGGTGAAAGAGGTGATGGAGTGGCCAGGATGCTCGCGAAAGAGGGTGGGAGACACAAGAGGTACGATAGAAGGAGAGAGAGAGAGAGTGAGAGACGGGATGGGACACTGGTGGTAATCGTCCTTGCCCTGGTTGCCATTGTAGCTGCCAGTAGCCGGGGTTGGGTTGTCATCCCTTACACCTTTATCCCCCGGCACGACGAGCGCGCGCGCGCGCGTGTGTTTGCGACGGCTGCGGCTCCTAACCCTTTGTTTATGTGAATCGACGCCCGCCGCAAATTAATCATTATGGTACTTCCGCCGACTATGCTTTATGTCCTGGAAAGGCCACGGATCATCGAAGAGCATCTGTTAATAATATTCCAGGGAACGTTTCCGGGGAAAGAGAGATTTTTGAGGAAATTGTGAGGAGAGATTTGATTTTGAGACTTGAGAAAAACTCAAAATCCATGCTGATCGCGTTAAATCTGACAATGAGTATCGAGATAGACGTTACACTGATGTAGAATAGTGTTTTAAAGCTACTTGTTGATATAAATTGATAAAATCGTTTACGTTGTTACCTAATTTTCTTTTTAAGTCAAATCGTACGTACCGATAACGCGAAATCGCCGAGTTTTGACATGAGATTACGAGAAATTAATACTGAGGAATGACGGTGGGGAGGAAAATTATGTTACGCCAAGTTACGCTGCTACTTCACGCTAATCTGTTTAGAAATCTGGGTAAATGTCGCGCAAACATGCAGTACGTTCCTACGTAGCTTGTCGATAATTTCGAGCAAGTAGATTAACCTACCGCAACTGAAGGATTAAGTAATATCCCGTACTAGAGAGAGAGAGAGAGAGAGAGAGATAGAGAGAGAAAGCAATGCCTGCTAATTACTATTAATACCCCGACCTTGCGCATCGAAATTCCGCGATAATTCAACCGTGGCTTAAATTATTCGATATATTATACATAATCTTTACTCTTTGACCTCCTCAACTATACGTTCCATACATCGTCTCGGCCTGTTGTTCAAGTAGGATGCGAGTGTATTTCCATAACTATCTGTCGCTCGGTCTCTTTCAGCTTCGCTCTTCTGTCTACCTGAGAAGTTCTGACGGCGTGGCGGCTAAGCCCTAGATACGTCAGAAAGATTTCTCCATCCGTCCGTGTGTATATAAACGTGCAGGTATCTTCGGACACTTACGTTTATTGCAGCTTTTTGCAACGTGGTCGTCGCAGCAGGTAGCCATCGGAGCATTGGCAAATAAAAAAAAGAGAACGCGCGCGTAAGACGTGTATCCTATTTGGCGAAACTGCAAAATTTAACGCAATGGCGTCCTATCATCGCTTTCGCGATACACGTTTGCGCGAAATGTGCCAATTTGTTTATAACGGCGGCTTTCGCGTAGATTGCACGAGGAGCTTCTTTCGTGAGCGAGCGAGTTGTAGGGGCGGAAGATCTTAGGGAAACTGATAGACGTGATTCAAAACGTATTCTCGCGAAAGAGAGGAAGAAAACCTTTCTTTATTTTTATTTCGACGCTGCTTTTACTTAATGTAACTTTTATATATCACTTTTTCTAATTATTGAATGTATATATGTTTTAATTTTAAATATATACACGGAGAGAATTTTCTCTTAAAATTTGTCCTGAAAATCATGTAATCGTGGGACAACATGGAATTTTGAAGAATTTTATGAGAGTTTTCGAAATTTTACCATACATTTTATTAAAATTTCAGAAAACTCTCCTAAACTTTTTCGAAATTCCGTGTTGTTTCACGATTACTTGACTTTCAGGATTAATTTACACGGAGAGAATTTTCTCTTAAAATTTGTCCTGAAAATCATGTCATTGTGGGACAACATGGCATTTTGAAGAATATTATGAGAGTTTTCAAAATTTTACCATACATTTTATTAAAACTTACCATGCATTATTAAAAGTTCAAAAAACTTTTCTAAAATTCTTCGAAATTCCGAGTTGTTCCACAATTACATGACTTTCAGAATAAATTTTACGGAGAAAATTTTCTCTTAAAATTTGTCCTGAAAATCGTGTGATTCTCGGATTTAAAGAATTTTGAGTTTTTTGAAATACCATACATTTTTCCTTAATGAAAAAAGAGACGTTACTAGCGCGAATGTCGTTAATATCGAATAGTTTGAGGCCTCTTTTCCGCGATGCCGATTGGTTTTCTCGAAGCACAGTGTGATTCACTTCTCTTTTAGATTCGTGTCATGTTTCAGCTCGCATGTGAATTTTGACAGTTGTGCAAAAATATACTTAGAGAAAGTTAGAGACTAAACGAAAAGTTAAAGAAAATTAAGTTAAAGTTAAACATCTAATTGAGTGAAGAAGACTGAAAGAAATTCTCGTTCTTCTCTCTTTTTAAAAAGGTATGTAAGACGAATTATTAACGCTGTTCCGCGATGCTGATTTTCTCGCTTGGCTTTGTACTGCGAGTAGCTGTCAGTGCGAAAATCATGTAATATGCATTTTAACAGAGTGTCAACGTCAGATTACGTCTTCTTCACATGAAAAAAATCTTAATGTGTAAAGAAGATCGCGAATAAATATAAATTAAAACGAAATAGCGCGCGCAATGCTATTTCCAATAAAGTATTTCATACCAATTTATATTATTATTAAAGTAAATAATTCGATAATTTTCGCCCATAATAAATGAAGATTTGCAATTCAGTAACATACATTTGTATACACCAACTATTGAGGTAAAATCTCTA